CAACAACTTCTTGCTGTCTTTCAACATTCTTTCTCGTACTTTCTTCATACTTTATTCGTTTACTTTCTGCAACGAGAGTTTTATTATCTTAATATTTAGATAGATACCACGTAGAAATCAATGACGGGCGAGTAGGTTTCGATCCTTGACCTTTGCCATGGTGGGCGTTTCCGAGAACAAGAGAATGAAAGTACCTGCCACGATTTTGATAGTTGTGATCATTATATAGTTTTATTCTATATTTATATATGCCAATTGTGAATTAGCGAATTTTATTATATAAAAGGAATTTGAATAATTGTGCGGCCGTGCTAATTAATTGGTTAGACTTTAATAAATTAGTCATTGAAATATAACATATCATTGTAGAAATTACAAATAAATTAGGAAATTTAGGCGTTGAATTATAGCGTCATATTTGTTTCCTATAAAATATACACAATACGTGTTTTGTTGTAACTTGTAAGTATATCCAATAATGTTCAACTAGGTGTTTTACCCACACATGCGAACCTAATTTTCTTACGAATAATTATTATTTTTTATTTTATTAATTCTAAAATAATATTATAAATTATTTTTTATAGTTTTAAAAAACCTAAATCAAACATTAAAATATTTTTATATGAATATAACACAGGTCAGTAGGTTTCTTGATTTGTTTTCAAACTAAAAATAACTTCACAGGTATATATCATTATATTATAGTATTATATTCTTTTAATTTGAAAATAATTACGTATTATAAATTTTCTATTTTCTTTTTAGAATTATATACAATTAAAAATTTTACTTTATGAATATTTATTTATGAGTTTTCAGTTTTTGAATTTTTTAATTAAAATATATTTTATGGATAACAACACAATATCTATATAGGAATTATCTTTTTATTTTTAAATATGTATTTTGATTATGAATAATTCTTATCTTTATTATTAATTTAAATCATTTATTTAATCAAATAAGTATTAAATTTTTTTTTTTGGCTGATTTATATATTTTATTCATTAAGGGTATAAACAATATTAACCACTCTAACTTTTAACGTGGGAGCTCTATTGCGAAAAATCACTTCGTAAATAATAGTATAGGTTTGGACATTCAAATGGTGCATTTACGTATTATATTATAATATATATTTTGCATACTTGAAGTTTAAAACAATAAATGAAAACGAAAACAAAAACGAAATTAGACGTTGCAGTTCATAAGTTTGTCTGGTGTCAAGCGTGTCACTGTCCGAATTAAAATTCAATAGTCTGTGCGAAAGATTATAAATGAAAATGATATGGACAGGACATCTTAAAGTTAAAACATAACTGAAAAAGGCATGTTAAGAAGAAATGAAGCGATGCATTCAGAGGTGGCTATATCATCTGTTACTGGATTACTATCTAAATTGCATATTAGAGCCAATGGATTCAGATTGCAACATCTTATTTTGTGGGTTACAAACCGTTTACTGAACGTTAGCTCTAATTGGCATCTCTAGTCTCGGATTTACAAACAAAGATACATTCTGTAAATTCCAGTCTGAAATTTAGAACCCAATCTGAAACTATGAAGATAATGGAGACTGTCTCACGGACTCTTATCTCGCGACTACTAAGGCTCAACCAAATCTCATCAGTTCGTTGAGTCCACACTACCAACAAGCCTTAAAGGTGGTACGTTATATGAAAATAAATGTTTGGTATATTTTGTACATTTTCTCTATAACTAAAAGGTTATACATACACATATGATCTCTTGTTTAGAATACTAGAAGGTTTATAAGTGGTTACTATTTGTTCCGCGGAACTCAAAAGGAAAAAGATGCTATCTATTCCTTTATGTGGCAATACCTCTGTGAGAAGGATTCCTCTCACCTCTGTGCTGATTTGGAAGCGACGAAAGGTAATTTAGTACCCATGGAGAGTTTGATTGATATCATCGCCATTGAAAATCCGAAGATGCAACAGATATTGGAGCTTAGGCGCCGCAACCTCGGGATTTTAGATCCACCACAATGCACCGTGGAGAAGCAGGCTGAATTGAAGTGAAGAACTGATGTCACCAACTTGAAAATCTTCGAGGATATCAAACTCAATCTTTAGATTTTTAATTTATAATTTTCTTTTTTTTTAATATTTCTCGTTTTGTAATATATTTTTAATATTTACAATTTTATTATAAAATTTATATTACTTTTAAGGTTATTAAAATTAAGTAAAATAATTATTAAAATTTTGATATTTAAAAAAGTTACACAAAATGGTATAAATTCGTTGTTTTTTTTTTTTTGGTAAAATTATAAATTTGTTGTTAATAATGTTACAACGAACTAACATCGACATATCTCATCAATCCTACGTAAAATTAATAAAGAATTTACAACATTTTTCGTTGTTATTTAGTCGTTAATTTTAACAATGAAATTAAAATTATAGCTACTGTAAATTCCTCGATTTAATTACATTGGCCTAACAATGAAGGGACAATTACACAAATACCTACGGATCTTAACGACAACTTAACAAGCTTTTTTTTTAACTACGTTTATAACCACTTTATGACGAAAATTAACTCGTAAAACTATCTCCACTTTTACGATGAAAATATTTACCGCTAACTGACGACAAATATATTACAAGGTTGTAACCAGTGGCTGAGGCAGCCTTTAGGGAAGGGGGTCACTTGACCCTATAAATTTTTATTACAAAAACATTTTACATGTATTTCTGATTTAAAAACTAGTGAAATGTAGTAAAATTAGTATAATGACCCCGGTAATATTTGCGGAAAGTTATCTTAAACCAATTATTTAGTTTTTTTTTACCCCTATAAGTTTAGTGGCTAGCTTCACCACTGGCTGTAACACCCGGTTAACGATGAATACAGCCGTTTTTGGTATTATGATTTTCTGTTGTGGATTTAGGACATGGCTGGTTTCTCCATTATTATCTGCAAAAAGTTTTTGCGGTAGCGGTTGTTGGTGTTTTGCAACAATCACTTAAACCGTTTTGAATCATTTTAAACCGTTCTAAACGTTAACTTTTAAATTTAAAAATTGGTTACAACTAGCGTTTGTGATTGCGGACGGTTGCGGGAGGATATTTTTTTAACAATATAAATATAAAAATAAAAAATATTCAATAATTTTTTTTAAATTGGAATTATAAAAATACTAAAATATATCTATTATATATTTTAATTAATATTATTCAAAAAATTTTAAATATTTTCAATAATTTTAAAAATTTAAAACTATAATATAATTTTTATATTTTTTATAATACATTGAGTTTTGGTATTTTCTTATAAATATACAAAATGTATATATTGTAAGTTTATATTTTAACACTACTGCATTTGGTAGTTAACTAAGCATAAATATCTCGCAAATGCACCAATTTGTAATTGCAGTATCAGTCGTATAATTCTCTTAAAACCACAAGAAACTGCAACCATCCGCATCCGCAAACTTTCGTAACTGCAACAGTTGATGCGTTTGAACCAGCCAGACCCTTAATATTATGATATCTATCCTTAATCAATTATAACCCTTTATCCATTTTTATTTTTTGTGGTTTTATTTCTTGTTTTTATTTTCTTATTTCTTTTATCATTTGATTTGATTTATACAGTTTAACCAAATTACTTTTATATGCTATATTTTTCCAATGGAATAAAATTATTTTAAATTATAATATTATTAATAAAAATGTCCCATTCTATTTTTTTGGTCAAATGTCCCATTCTATTTTATATTATTTTATAGAATAACAGATATGCATAAAGACCACTGATCCATTTTTATTATCATTTTTTTATTTTCTTCATCTTTCTTTTCTCCTTACATTACATTTGAACTGTATTTTTATTATTATAACTCAGTCACATAATAATATAAAGAAAATAACATATTTTCAATTTTTAACTTCTTCATATGAAAATAAATTTTATTGACAATTTATAAATTATTATTAACTATAGTATCTAGTTCTATTATATTCTATGTCAATTTGATATAGTGAAACACATTTATAAAGATCTTTTATGGAATGGTGATGAATCCTTATTTACCATTTTATTTGTGTAGTTTATAGCACCTCCACCGAGAGTACTTAGGGGGAGTTCTTAAAAAAATAATTAAATAATTAGTAGATCTCACAAAAAAAACTGATCTTTAAAATCTCTAAATAATTATTGTTTCTTAGCAAATCCTTACACTATTTACGGGTCCCCATAACACGTGGCAGCCCGCAATTGGTTAATATTTTATTTTTTCTTTTTCTTTTTTAAAACCTGAAAAAATAAATAAAAATATAATAATTAAAAAATTAAAAAATAGTATGCTCTGTTATAGCAAACAGATTTTTAAATTGTCAAACCATAACAATCAAATTTGTAAATGCATCATCATAGTTGTTCATACATTTTCCTCTCGGTACATGTCTTATTGTCCATGTATCACTATATCACTATTTGAGTTTTATGAAGAGACACATAATTCCTAAAGACAGATGAGTAGCTTTAAAATGATGTTTATATCATAATTTCATCTTTTACAAATGTAGATACTATTCTATATATAAAAATAGTATCTCATACAAATTATGTTGTGTAAATTGTGTACGTATGATGCTTTGAATGCATGTCAACAGTAAGAAATACCAAATTGTATTTGTGGAAAATAGCGCTTGCAACTATACAATTATTACATGGTTATTTTCTTCTTCTTTTGTATATGGACAATTACACTAATTCACTGATAACTGGACGGTAAAAAAGCGCAACATCAGCATTAAGTAAAATCCAATTTCCTCTTTCATTTTCTCTATGACAAAACTAACCACGTCTTCCTTCTCATTACCACAACACTTAACCCCCATTAGAAATATAGTATCCATGATCCCTCATCAGTTATAAATACAAATCCCCTCAACGAATGATCTTCTAACTATACACCATCTCTATTTACCCAGCTAGCCCCCTTAAACACTCTCTCAAGAAACATGTCTCCCAACGTTCTCCGGTGGTTTAGCCTCGTCGCTCTTCTCTGGCTTCAATCTATCAACGGCACCAACTTGAGTTTCCCTGCTTACTCTTCACAGCTCAAAGAGTTTCTCTCTATCTCTCAGTTTAAGCTCAACTACCTCTCTTTCGCCTCCGACGCTGGAAAAGTCCTAGGCTTCATCTCCGGTATCGCCGCCGTTCACCTTCCTCTCCCCCTGGTCCTTCTCGTCGGAGGCTCTCTAGGTTTCGCCGGCTACGGTCTTCAGTATCTCTCCATCGTCAAAAAGATGTTCACGTTATCGTTTTATCAAATCTGGGGCCTGAGTTTCTTGGCCGGAAACAGTATCTGCTGGATCAACACGGCTTGTTACATCGTAGCTATCAACAGCTTTCCGGTGAATCGTCAAGTAGCCGTGGGGATCACGGCAAGTTATCAAGGTTTGAGCGGGAAAATATACACCGACATAGTCCACACCTTCTTCTACTCGTCTCAACGTGAAGCCGCTTCAGGTTATCTTTTGCTCAACTCTCTAGTTCCTTTGGTATGTTGTGTCGTGACCGCTCCTATTTTGATGAGAGAAGCAAAAGCGACGTCGTACTCGTCTTGGGATGTTAAAGTGGGTTTTATCTTTCTGTTCGCTGTGACTATAGCCACGGGGATATACGCCGTGGCTACGAGTCTTCTCCCGGCTCCTGCGGTTGTAGTACTCGTAGGCATTGTTTTGTTTCTTCTTGCTCCTTTGGCTATTCCAATTGGAGTTAGACTCGACGAGCTTATGTCTTGTAGAAGAAGTCAACAAAAGGTATATGACTTTGAAGCTCCTATTGAAGAAGATCAAAAGAAAGAAGAAGAAGAGTTTGATGAGAAGGCGATAGTTGGAGTTAAAGAAGAGGTCGAGTGGACTAAACTATGGAAGAAACTCGATTTTTGGATATATTTTGGACTTTATTTGTTCGGTCCAACGGTTGGGATGGTGTTTATGAACAATCTTGGTCAGGTCGCTGAGTCTCGTGGCTGCGCTGCGACCAGCTCCTTGGTCGCTCTCTCGTCATCGTTCGGGTTTTTCGGCCGCTTGCTTCCTTCCTTACTCGACTACTTCCTCTCTAGGTAAAATCATTTATGGTTTTACCCTACTTTACCTAATCAATTATTCCATAATAATACAACTACGTTGACCTAGCACGTATAATTATAAGATACATGCATTCCTAGCATCTACGTGTTTGGTCTGTTTCATCAAACAACCTTCGACATATCGATCACCATCTTTATAATTATTTTCCCTAATTTCTCGGAATTATTCTAATTTTATTATATTTTATATTCATCACAGGAACAAATACATGCCATCATGTCCGGTTTCTATGGCGGTCTCACTGGTAGCAATGGTTGCTTCGTTTTTACTCCTCCTCATTGACTCCGACATCGCTCTCTACATCAGCACGGCAATGATCGGTGTATTTTCCGGAGCATTGACTTCTCTCTCTGTCACAATGACTGCAGAGCTTTTTGGGACAAAACACTTTGGAGTTAACCACAACATTGTTGTTGGAAGCATTCCGATTGGTTCTTTCGCTTTCGGGTTGGTTGCTGCTAAAGGTTACCGTGATGGAGCTGCCTTCGACGGACGTTTTGACGGAAAATGTTATGGAATGTATTGCTTTCAAACCACTTTGATCTTTTGGGGAATGCTCTGTTCTTTAGCCGCCGTTCTCGCTGCCGTTTTATATATACGCAATCGCAAGTTCTACTCGCATAAGCCGTAGAAGAAGCAGAAATAATCAAATAACACACGCAAGCTCTCACTTCATCTAAGGGCGCCTAACGAAACGAAAATTTTGTTTGTATAATGCGTTTTGGGTTAAACGGATGGTGTGGAAGTAAATTTTTTGTACAGTGGAGACGTGCGGTAAAAATAGATAGCGATACTGTACAACGCTGTAAAGATCAATGTTTATATAGAGATCCGCTTTTTCTTATATGTTGTATGATATAAATCCATGTTTTGCTAGATTGGTGTAAGATAATTTATGAATGCTAAAGAATTTGTAACGACTTTGTTTGAATATAAGTGGGAATTATGACTATAGCAATTTTCGGGTGAGTCCAATTAATATATCCCAACATAATATTCTGTTGGTGCGTAGTTGATGTGCTGCTGTTTCGAACGTGGGTCCAAGAATCTTGATCATGCGGCTGTTATTCAAGTGATTTTAATTCTGATGTGAACAAATTTCTAATGGGACCCCGACGTTAATCAATATACTCTCACCTAAGTCAGATTATTTGTATTACTCTATGTCCATATATTTTATTCTTATGTGATTATTAAGACGTTAGTTTAAACATTTTGTGAGAGAGGGACGACGTAAACGTATTCAACCACAGGAAGGCCACCTAAACCAGTATATGGTCGAGATCAAGACATGCATGATTTACGCAGAATTTAGGATTTGAGCTTCATACCTATATATACTCCTTACAGCATTTCTGTTCACTATTATTGAAGTGTATGACAGTTTTTACGACAAAAAACAATTAATTTTAATATGGTAAAACTAATAAGACGGTACTCGTTTCGTGGATATTTTTTTTAGGTTTGGTGATTTGTGCTACCATTGGTCCATCACACTATAACTCTAGTTCAAATATTTCGGAAATATGTGACTTGTTCTAATTAACTTATTTGCTGAGATCACATATCTTTTTCAAGGGATCCCTCTTTTTTTTTTTTTTTTTGTGAAAAGGGATCCCGCATTTGTAGCTTAGAAAATGTATGATATTTTGTTAAAAATTCTTCCAATTTTATATATATATTTTTTGTGACAATTCATTCCATAGAAGTTTCATAGCATTGCAGTGCACCGATCCTAACCTCTCATCGTGAGAGGAGCTGTCTCCATATCCACTGATAAGTTATTGATGTACTTGGCGTTACTTGAACCCAAGGTCTCACCCTTTAACAATTCTTCACCAGTTAAGTTGTCACCAATTGAATTACAGATCAATTGGTAACAACTTATCTTGTGGAGAGTTGTTAAAGGGTGAAGTTTTGAATTCGAGTAACGGCAAGCATATCAATAACCTATTGGTGAATGTGGAGACAGTTCTTCCTACAATAAACATTAGTAAAAAAAAACAAAATAGCTACGGTACATTCGTAGCTATATGGAGAACTTGCTACGAATAGCTACGCAAATTCGTAGCTAGCTCTCCATATAGCTACGAATTTGCTACGAATGTACCGTAGCTATTTTAATTCTTTTACTAGTGTTAAAGGGGTGCGCTGCAGCGATGTAACCATCACAAAAAGTTGGTGAGTGAACTATTTCACATTTACCAGTTACAAAAAAAAACAAAGAAAAACAAAAACTATTCGACAGTTACACTTACTTTGGAGAATTGGGCGGTTAGATAAAATTCATATCACTTATTGTTATCAAAATTATATAATGAAACTTGCAATTTGATTTGGCTAAGATTTTATCATAATAGTAACATGCTACCTAATTATTAAACTTTGTGCAGTTGTCCCTAACCATATATGCTGGCTAAAAGAAAGAAAGAGATACATATTTAAAAAAAAATCAAGAGATGTTTAACTTTCAAAAATCAAGAAATAGAATAATATCTCTTTCTTTTGATTTGGTTGTCATGGTTAATGGTTAACTCCACGGAACTACTTACAATAAATGATACCCTATGTAGTCACTGGGGAGGCCTGACCAATTTATATATAGGGTCACAATTTTGAACAAGATGTATTTTTATTAGAATATGTTTGTACTTACAATGTTGATCATTTGTAATCTAAACTCTAGATATATTTTAAGGAATCAACCAAATTGCATACGGTTTTTCTTAAATATATTATAAATTTAATTAATAAAAACAGTTGATCCTAGCAAAATCTTATCGTAGTTAAACTGGATCTACTGGCCGGGCGAAATTGTAGTTTAAAACAGATGCCAATTTTATAAAATCAAAAGTAAAAAGAAAATTTTGTTAAGAAGGGAAAGAAAGTAATTTGAAAGAATGTTCTCGAACTTAGGGGGTGTTAGTGGGACTAAAATTTATAATGATTCTCAGAATTTTAGAATCTAGTGTTATTGGTTTATAGATTGTTAGATTCTTATTAAAGTTTAGTGTTATTGATTTAATGATTTAATAACTCTATGCACAATCCATTGTTATTCAAAAAGTTTAAATTTTAATGATTATTTATATCTATTAAAATTGGTGTTATTGGGAGTTGTATTCTTCATCATTTAACTCATAAGACAAGATTTTGAGAATACTACCTATATACTTTAGATTCTTAGAATCATTATATCAATTTATTTTCACAAACTTTTACAATATACAAAACTCTCTACAACTATTTCCAAATTTAACAAATCCATCAACTTTTAAAATCAACAAACTCTATATAAATATAACTTCCACTAACACCCCCTTATTGTATGAAGAGAATAAATTCCAGAAAATTCAAATTTAAAGATCTTGGAAACGACAATTTATAATGAGGATGTGCTGCATCGTAGTTTCAGTACGAAGAGTGTGATTGAGAGAAACATGACACATCAACGCTAACAAGAAAGATTCATTGAATAGGTTACGCGTCTTCATGTGCATGGTAATGTAATCGTCAACATTTACTCATTGGTTTACTTCCCTACTTAATTGATTGCGATTTTTACATTTAATGATACAAACAAAACTACTACTATGATGCATGAGTGACATCAAGTATGACGCCATAGGGAGAAGGTCTCTTTTTTTTTGGAACTCAGGGAGAAGGTCTCTTTCCCAATTTTAGAACAACTCCAAAACATATCCAAATTGGGCATGGGATACACGTCATCGGATCATTTATCTATGGTGCGTGTACCTTACTTTATTTAGATACACAACCTTGTTTAGTTATACATCAAAGCCGCTCAAAAGATACTTTATTTAGATACACAACCTTGTTTAATTATATACATTAAGGCCGCTCAAAAGATATGTAGCCAGGAGGGAGAAATTGTTTTTTATATGGGTCAAATTGATAGTTTATGTATTCTACAAGGACCAACAAGCTAAAATTTCAGTTTTTTTTTTTTTTTTTTTTTTTTTTTTTTTTTTTT